GTGTTTGCAGTCTGTGATCATTTTTGCATTGTTGGCATTCTGTAGTGTACGAAAAATCACGTTTGTTTTCACAGTCTTTCATCAGAATGTAATAATGCTGCTGTAGGCGACTAGCCCTGATGTTAACCAGTAGTCTTCTAGCTGTGTAGCTATGGTCAAATCAGTTCTAAGCGCTAGTTAACGTAATCCAGACACATCCCGATCAGATCTGAAACACCATCACATTCCATTAGGGCTGGGAAAATGTCTGAAAAAGTCAACTTAATAATAATATTCAAATTGTAAAGACACTTTATTTTAAAGGAGAAAAAGTACTGTATTTTCGAATTAGCGAATATAAACCAAATCAAGCACCGCATTTTTTATTTAATGCATGTCATTTTATCTAATAACATGACTTTGTTTAAAGTGCTTAACATTTCTAACAAACATTCATAAATCAAATAGGATTTCCTAAATTTGCACACAGAGAAATTGAGGTAAAGATGAAGATCAGCAGACGGTGTAATGTATTCTCTCTGTTTCTCCACCATTTTCAGAATTAATTCCGCATCTGATGGGTTGAAGGCTAACAAAAACTACGTCGTCGTCATGTCTCGCGCCTCCTGACATAGCAAACATTTGGATGCACAGCTTTTGCATTTCAATGTGCTTTTTTTTTTTTTTTAATTCAATGAATATTTGAAATTTTAACTAATTTGACAGTGTTTCATGTTGACTTTAGAACTCTCAGCGTTAGAGGGGTGGAGTCAGACTCCTAGACTCCTCCCATATAGTGGTAGTAGGGGGTGTGGTTATGTTAATTAGAGTCTGTTATCTCACATTCGTTCTCGTGTTTGATTGCATTGCAGTCGCAGTTTGAGTCACTTCCACACTTCCGCGTACGAGCAGTTTAACCCGCACATGTTCGGCGAGGGCGGTGTGAGCGGCGTCATCGGCACCTATAACCCCTACCTGCAGGGGGTGTCTCTGAAGGTGCCGGGGCTGGAGGGCTACCAGGGCTATCCGTCTGCGCTGCAGCAGGCTCTGCTGTCTCCCACGCCGCTGGAGTACCGGCCGGTCCAGCAGCACGTCACGCCGACCCTGCAGGGCCTGCTCTCGCCGCGGCACTCGCTCACGGGACACACCGACCCCCGCCTGCCTCCGCAGGACCTCGCCGCGCTGCTCAAACGCCAGAGCCTTCACCCGGCCCCGCCCACAGCCACGCCCACCAACCCACAGGACTACGGAGAGATGCTGCTGCTGCAGCAACTGGGCCAAGCCACCGAGAGCTTAGAGCCCGCCCCTCCGCAAGCCCCGCCCACACAGCACTACCATCACCTGCTCCAAATCAGGACCCCGGCCGAGTGCCCCGCCCCGCCCCTCTCTCACTCGGAGAGCATGGAGGAGGACGACGAGATACCGGCCTATCACGAGGGCCTGCTGGCCAAAGCCGCCGCCCCCTGCGCTGAGGGACACGAGCTGCTGGCTCCGCCCCCTGGCAGCACGCCGCCATACTCCTCCCCCACACACAGACACGCCTACATGCACAGCACCACGGCAACCAGAGGTACTCCAGCGCTCACAGCACATTTACTCTGTTTCGGTGTGTTTGCTTACAATATTGCCAAAGATTTAAACACAAATCAAGTCAAATTCATTTATATAGTGCTTTTAATAGGAGCTTTACAAAAATATACAATATAAGAATGATAAAAAATAGCATTAAAATAAGGTGCTATGTAATGAATAAAAATATTTATATTCTATTTCAAATAAATGCTGTTCTTCTGAACTTTCTGTTCA